GCCTTATTCTATAACACTGCAAGGAAATGGAGTTCTATTGTACTTTGCTTTTTGGGTTGTCTCCAATGCTTCTCAGAGCTCTGTGAATATTATGCTTTCTACAACAGCACACAGATATATTTGCAAACATCAGAGCACATGTTCTTTGTATTTGGCCTACTTCCCCCTCTCAGAAGAAAAGCTGCTCTGTGTCTGCCTGGCAATTAAAACCCTTTGTACTGTAGTTCATCGTCCAGGATAAAGTGTAGCTAATCTGCTTTTGCAGCCATCCTGGATCATTCCAGTGCCACCCCCCAGGGGGCAGTATCACCCACTTAGGGAAACACTAAATTAGAGTATTAACAGAAAATATATCAACTACTATAACTGTGATGGTTAGGTTTATTTTGCCAACTTGGCCAATAGGAACAGGTGGGCAGAGTTTAATCTGGTTGCAGCTTGATTGGAGGGCTACCGAGATAAAGAAGAGCATCGCTTGAGTTTGAGATCACTGAGGGGCGTGGGGGGTCTGCTTCACTAAGCACCCGAGCTACTGCTATTGCTGACCCACCCGGCTGTCTGCTCCCTATGGGCAGACTCCATCTGCTTCCTTGACCTTGGGCAACCCATGTGAGTTGAAGAACTTCCAGGATATTAGCTGTTCCACAGAAGTGAGTTGAACTGAACCCTCTGTACCGCTGTGTGGACTAATTAGCTGTTATATTCCTTCTCGCTGTATAAACCTACCCTCTTATACTTATATATGTATAAAATCATAAGTATCCTGGTTTGTTTCTCTAGAGAACACTTGCCCAACACAATAGCTATCTTTTGAAGGCCATTAGTAATAAAACTTATTTTTAGCTTATCCTTGTTCACCCTCTTGAGGTCACAAAAATTCATTTGATAACTGCATTCTTACTCCAGTAAATGTTATAAATGCAGTTTCAGGTACTCAATTTCTTTAGTTTGGAAGGAAGGGAATATTGCCAGTCCTCAGACTCATATTACTTAGATCATTTGTTTTGTACTTCATGGGGTTAGGTATCTATTTTTAAAAAGTTGGTTAGAATTAACTAAATAAACAGGGTGACAAGGGCTTTGATTGATTTGTGTAGTTTCGTCTCCATCTCTCAGCCTCCAGATGTGATTCTTCATTGGGAAGCTGTCCAGCAGAGGGAACAAGGACAGACTGTGCTGTTTTCTTTGGCAGCTGTGGCACCGTAGACACAAAACTGAGCCTAGTGCCACTGAGCTGATGCCGACTCACAGCAGCCCCGCAGGACAGGCTGGAACGGACAGTCTGGACAGAAGCGGACGGCCACATTCTCTCCCGCAGTGCAGCTTGCTAGGAGCCTTGTGTTTAATGCTTTGGTTGTGCTGTTATCCTTAAAAAGAAACTTAAATTTGCCATTTTACTCTAATTAGTTTATCACTAGCCATTTCAGCTAATACATTCAAGAGGTCTGTGCTGTACTATCTGTTGCCATTACGAGTTGTGGTAGAGATCCGAGCTGCCAGCACGGTGAGACAAGACAAAGAAAAGGTGAACGGGGCACCTTGATTGGAGAGAGTAGGTTTTTATGGATTGCGATAACAGTTGTATGAGCCCCTAATAAAATGTTTTTAAAAAATACGGAAGGCTTAGGAGTAAATCTGAAAACCAGCTGCACGATCTGTATGGCACGTACTGCGAGGGGCTCCTGACAGAATGAGAGGACTGAGGTGAGGAGAGAAGTCAGATTTGTGGGTTGGAAAACATACTATTGTTGAGATTTCTGCTCTGCCTAAATGAGGTTTGGTATAGAAATTGATAAGCTGATTCTAAAATTCATATGGAAATGCAAAGAACCTGGAATATGCAAGCCAGTTTTATAAAAGAAGAGTTGGAAAAATAGCACTACCTGATTTCAAGACTTATTGTAAAGCCACAGTACCCAAAAAGTATAGAATTAGCACACGCAGAGACACAAATATAACATGTTCATAATTTGCATCATACATAGAGAAATAACTCAAAATTGTTGATAGACCTAAATGTAAAGCCTAAATGGTTGTATTTCTAGACAAAAGCAGGAGAAAAATCCCTGTGCCCTTGGTGTAGGCAAAGATTTCTTCTACATAATATCAAAAGCACCCATAGAAAAACAATTAAAATTTTCTGTTCTTTAAGAGAATGAAAAGCCACACCAACAGCAGATTCACTCACTCACGAGGGTCCGTTGCTGACTCATAGCAACCTTATAGTAGAACTGCCCTATTGGTTTCCAACAGTAACTATTGACAAGATCTGAAAGCCCCATCTTTCTCCCAGCCAAAGATTAAGAGAAAATATTTGTAAATGGTTTCCAGAATGTATAAAGGACTCTCCACTCAGCAGTTTAAAAAAGCAATAAAAATGTGCAAAATATCTGAACAGATACCAAGCAAGATATGTGGATGGCCAATAAGTACATGACACAAACAATTCAACCTTGTTGGCCATCAGGGTGCTCGATTCAAACCCACATTTAGAGAACACTGCATACCTCTTAGAAGAGTTAAAATGTAAAAATAATGGGAGAAAATGTAATTCTGATACTGGTGCTGGTGGGAATATAATATAGTATCATTTGGGAAAACGGGTTGGCAATTGCTGAAAAAGGTTAAACATATACCTATCTTGTGATTCATTTATTTCATCCTGGATATGAAGGGGCTTCAAAAGTTTGCTGGAAAATTCTATTATCTCTCAATTCCATTTTTCCACCAACTGTTTGAGACCCCTAATAATCAGTCAAGATAAATGAAAGCATGTGTCAGCATAAAAGCTTTCTATATAAATGTTCATAATAACTTAATTTGTAATAGCTCCAAATTAGGAACAACTCAGATATTTATCAACATTTGAATAATAAACAAGTTGTGGTATGTACATCCCTAAAATGGAATATTGCTCACCAGTTGGAAAAACAATTTTATCCTGAATGAAAGAAGCTATATTAAAAAATAAACCAATTCCTATTTGCATGTATGAAATTCTAAATATTGTACTCTCATCTCTAGTAACAGAAAGATTAGTGATTGCTTACAGATGGAGATGGGGAAAAGAAGAGGGCTGAGAAGGAGGATAGAAAGGGGCACAAAGACACAAACTTTTGCAAGTGATGAACGTTTTCATGACCTTAATTAAAACAGTGGTTTCATGGGGAGTGTTATTTCTATGTTTTGGGTTTATCAATACTTACCACATTGTGTGCTTTAGATAAACATAGCATATTGTATATCAGTCATTCCTTAATACTTGCTACTTTTTAAAGAGTGCATCTTTGAACCCATACTAGCCCCCTTGTAGCTATGTTACAAATTGACTTTAAAAAAAAAGAGTATCACTTATAAGTTATTTGGCTCCTTGTAGGAAACCAAATGATCAACAATTACTTTAACACAAAGATGAGAGTGTAGGGGCGTAAGGAAACTAGACTAATGGAAATGGAACAAGTAGACAGGAGCATGGAGGCCAGTCACCAGTGTCCCTGGATAGCCTGTGCAGAAATTGGAATGGTAACCTAAACATGGCTCTGACTTGCACAGTTGAAACTTTGTCAATAGATCCCCCTATGATGCAGGCTGGACCTGATCTGGTTTCCAAAATGCTCTGTATTTTTGGTTTGTATTGTTTTGCTTGTTCATATTAGAGCGCATCTCAGAGGTGTTTGTCATTGGAGGCCGCGCTCTTGAAGCTGTGTTAGATGCTTTCCTGGTCTGTGAAACCCAGGACTGAGGAATGATAGGGACTGAGGAAATGATAGGCAAGCAGACTCAGGAGGGGAGGAAGGTGCATGATGGTGGTAGGTTGTCAAAGGGAGACGGTGTCAAGAAGGCCATGTAGAAAAAGAAGGTTTGGAAATATTGTGGTAGTAATTGTTCAATTCTGTTTGACGTAAGTGAAATATGGAATATGTATGGAATCCCAACTAATAAGAAAAATAAATAGTGCAGGCTCTGCTGTCAAAGAAGCCAAACTCACCGCCATTGGGTCGATATCAGCTCATAGCAACCGATAGGACAGGGTGGAACTGTCCCTGTGTGTTTCCAAAACGGTAACTCTTTACAGGAGTAGAGAGCCCCATCTTTCTCCTGTGGAGCGGACTGGTGGTTTCAAACTGCCGACCTTGTGGATCACAGTCCAGTGTGTAACCACTGTACCACCAGGGCTCCAGAAAGCCTCACTTCTCCCGTAGAGCAGCTGGTAGCTGCAGCCCAACGTGGAACCTGCCCTGACACCAGGGCCCCGGGCTGTCCGATAGCCTGAATAAAATGTAGCTAATCACTGGAGCCAGCACCTCAGGCTGCTATGGGAATTGTGGGCTCCAATCTGCATAAAGAGATTAGGTGGTGATATTATTTCCCATGTTACGTGACTAGGTCCTAGCTCCTAGTAGATCATTAACTCCTGGTGGGCTCAGTGAGCAAGGCACCATGTCTCTGTCATGCCCACGTTGCCCAGGGAGAAACTTGACATAGGTGTTTGTATAATCCTAAACCTAACACATGGAAAGTATAAAAGGGTTTGAGAAATGTTTAAATTGATACTTAAGTAACAAAAGCTTATCCTTCAGATATGTAAAACATGTTTTTTTAAAGATCTGGAGTACAATTTTGCCACACTATTCTGATCTGATTTGTATATTGTGGTATCTGCTGGTTCAGGGTTATCTAAGAAATACTTAGGGTGTTGCACTGATTGACAGCTATAGATTACTTATTTCTATCTGTATGCACAGACTCAGATGTGACTGTGTGTGTCATAGATATTTCTTGAAAATGGTGTCCTTCGCACACCATTGTAGCTGTCACCCATATTTAACTTCATTAGAATGCAGTCAAGTCCTTGGGAAAATCACTTATGTCATCACTGAAGCATGTCCCCCAAATAGCTTCTCACTTAAGTTCCCATCCCCAGAGCTAACCCACAGGAGGTTCCGATAAATTCAATACATTTAATAACTTGTCTTTTTTTTTTTTCTCCTCAAACCCAGGCGCTCTGGTCCTGGAGGCAAGATCACGTGGTGGATTCTTGGCAGTCGGCAGTCTGTGGAGCTTTTGCAGGTGCAAAGGATTTTATTATACTGGGATAGACCAAAGAGTGGGGAGAGAAATGTGACTGTATTAACTATGCAGACCCAGCATTCTTTAGAAATTCCAGATTGTTTAGATGAAGACAGTCTCACTAGCTGTTTGAGGAAAGAAAGTGTCTTTGGGGGAGAGGAGAGGGGAAAGGGGGGGAAAAACTTTCTAGAAAGGTGTCTGGTTGAAAGACAACCAATTTGTTTTTGAAAATTTTTCTTTTTCTTTTTCATCTTTATTAAAGCCTTCTGTCAGGCCCTTGGATTATCTTAAAAATGAGTTATAAGCCCTTCTGTGGGAAGAGGCGTGATGTGGGGGCAGGGCTCACTGTGCTTCTGTCTGCCCGGAGTCGAGCGTGTGGGGCCGCGCTGTTTCTGCAGATGTCGTGATTCACGGTTCATGTGACATGCTAGACAGCTCTGTGGATTAACTGGTGTCGGGAGAGCGGAGGCCACTGCACAGCTCACTGAAGGCTAAACCACTCTGGGGGAATAGGTGATCACGACCTCAAGTGTCCAGAAGTTTTCAGATGTGAGCACAGTGACAATATGTGATGCTGGGTTGTCTTCACTTGGCCAGCCATGTAAAATTTCCCTTATGGCTTTAATGAGAACCCAGGTGCTAAAGAATTTATTAAGTGATAGGTTTAGCAGCCTGGGAGAGAAAGTCATTTTGTTATTACAAATAAAGGTAAATTACAATTACAGCCGAAATAAAACAAAATGTAAATTTGCCAGAAAATCTGTCAGTAAATTGTCAGATATACTGGCTTGGGATGTCAACTTTATTGGAAAATAATTCTTTCAATTTCATTTTAATGGTGCTTGGATTAGGGTTTTTGTTGTAGCTACTAGGGAATCGGGAAAAATGCCTTTAATAAGATTCTTTTATTAATAATTGGAGCTGTTTGACTTGTGGAACTAGTTATCAAAAAAAAGAAACTTGCCTCTAGACACGAAGCCAATCCAGCCTGGTGATGATGGGTAATTGTTTCCACATGACATGCCATTAGCTGTGCTCAGTGAGTAGGTGGTCTTGATTCCTTTTCCAGGGGCCTTATCCCTGAGCCCCTGAGCGAAATGTGCCTTTCTGTGCACTACCTCCGGTGCCCTGGGGACAGAGTGAGCCTTAGGGAAATGTAGTCATTCTGCCTCAAGAAAGCAGAGTCTTGAAGTCCACAGTACCGTAAAACCTCCATATGTTGAAATAAGCCTAGTTCCCGGGTCCCAGCCCTTAAGAAGCAAATTCAAACATTTGCTTGCAAAATACAGTATTACTTTTGAGAAATTTACACTCATCACAATTCCTTTTTCTGAATAGTGCTCTATTCTCTCCCTCACTCTCTCTCACTCATGTTTGCTCCCTCTCACTCATCCTCACTCACTTTCTCACTCACTCTTTCTCATTCTCTCACTCTCTCACTCACCCTCACTCACTCACTCACTCTTTCTCACTCTTACTCACTCACTCACTC